GCTGTCGGCGCAGCTCCAGGAGGCGGAGGGGCGGCACAGGGCGGCGCTGCAGGCCGTGCGCGCCGCCGCAGCCGCGGCCCTGCGGGAAACGAGGGCCGAGGTGGAAGCCCTAGCGGCGCGGCAGGCGGGAGATCTGGGTGCTGTCCAGGAAGCTGTCGGGCAGCTGCTCGCCACAGATCTCGTGGCGGCGACAAAAGAGGACCTGATGCGGAGCCTCGCCGCCGCGCGGGCCGAGGTTCTGGGCGGCGCGGGGGAGCTGCGGGGTCAGGTTGAGGCGTGCGCGGGGGAGGTGCGGCGGGCGCTGGCCCTGGCGCAGGCAGGGGCGGAGGCGGCGCGGCGGGCGTGGCAGCAGGAGGGGGTTGTGGGGGCGGCGGACGTCGCGGGGCTGCAGCGTGACCTGGAGGAGGTCAGGTGGGGTTGTCCTGTGTTGTGCATACGTGCGTGCATACGTGTGTGTGTGTGCGTGTGTGTGTGTGTGTGTGTGTGTGTGTTTGTGTGTGTGTGTGTGTCTGTGAAGGGGCCGGCGCTCTGATTCACTGATGGATGCAGTTCATCTACGTACCCCTCGAGAGCCACTGGGGCCTGTCTGCCGCGGGGTTGAGTTGAAACAACAACACAATCTGGCTCCAGCAAACGGGAGCGGTTGCATGGGCGGCAGCGGCGGCGGCGCTTGCGGGGCCGTGGTGTGGTCTTCGCACCCCTCGTCTCCTCCCTCCCAATGGGGGGGCGCTTGCGCCTGTGGGGTGCGTGCCTGTGCGTCGGTGAACCGTAATACCCCTGACCCAAACGAACGCCAGGCTGCAGGCCTCGGCGGCGGAGTGCCAGCTGGCGGCCCTCGAGCAGAAGCTGGCCGCCGCCCAAGCGGAGAAACGGCGCCTCCACGCCTCTGTGGAGCTGCGTGAGCGGCAGCTTCTCGGCAGCCGCCGGGAGGCCGCGGAGGCGTCCGCTGCCGCCGAGCGCGCCCGTGCCGAGGCCAGGCGCGCGGCGGAGCTGCTGGCAGACGGCGAGGCCCGGGCGGAAGAGGAGCGGGCGGGGCGGGACGCGGCGGCAGGCGCGGCGGAGGCGGAGGCGGAGGCGCTGCGAAGCGAGTGTCAGGCGGAGCGCGAGGCGGCGTCGGGGGCGCGCGCGGAGGCGGAGGCGGCGGCAGAGGAGGCGCGAGGGCTGCGGGGGCAGCTGGACGCGTCCGCGGCCGCGTGCGGGCGGCTGGAGTGCGCCGCGGGGGCCGCCGTCGCGGGGCGCCTGGCGCAGCTGCGTGCCGCATTCCTCCCATCCCGAGACGAGGGCGGCGGCGGCGGCGTGACAGCGGCAAGGGATGGCACTGCGGGCGTGGGGGCGGCGGCGGGGCGGCCCATCCCTGGTCCGGCCGTGTGTGAGGGTGCGGACGCTTCAGCAGAGCTGATGCTGTTGGAGCAGAGCCTGGCCAACGCGTCGGCGTCGGCCGCCGCGCGGGAGCAGCAGCAGCTGCAGCATCTGCTGTCGCTGCTGCCCGACTCGCCCCGGTCTTCCCTGGTGTCTTCAGGGCACGGCGGCAGCGGCGGCTGCGGGCCGGGCAGCGTGCGCAGCAGCAGCTGCGGCAGCCCGAGGGGCGCCGCGAGGGGGGAGGGCATGACGGCGCAGCTGCTTCGCGCGATGGCCGGGGAGAAGCGCCAGCTGGCGCGGCGGCTGAAGAGGCTGCAGCAGCAGCAGCAGCAGCAGCAGAGGCTGCAGCAGCAGCAGCAGCAGCAGCAGCAGCAGCAGCAGCAGCAGCAGCAGCAGCAGCAGCAGCACCAGCAGCAGCACCAGCACCAGCACCAGCACCAGCACCAGCACCAGCAGCAGCACTCTTGGCAGGGTCTGCCCTGCTCTCGCTCCTTCACACTGCCCGCCGGACCACCTGCAACAGGCTGCGGCGGCTGGCAGCCCTTCGGGACCTCCGCTGCTGGTCGGGAGGTCCCCGGCCCGTGTGCTGCGCAGCCGGCAGCACCGCCGGCCGCCTGGGGCGCCCTGCCCGCAGCCGTGCCCGAGGATTGCAGTGGGGAGGAGGTCGAGTCGCTGCTGCTGGCCCTTGAGGCGTATTGCCCGGAGGGTGCGGCAGGCGCCGCCGCCGCCCCACCCGCCGCGCCCCACGCGTCCGGGCCGCCCGGAAGCGCCGCCGGACGGCGCGAGTTTCAGCAGCAGGCGGGGCAACAGAGAGGCGCGTGGGGCACCGGCACAAGGTGGGTGGCCCCGGCAGCAGTGGGCGGGGAGGCCTGCGGTATCAAGGGTCTAGTCAGCCAGCTGCATTCCAGCTGCCCAAAGGAGCGACCCGTCAGCAGGGGCAGTGGGGGCGCTAGTGGGGGTGCGAGGGGCGCCGCTGCCCTGGATGCAAGGAGCGCCTCGAGAGGGGGCCGTTGAGCTGCCGCAAGCTGGCCCCCCCGCGCCCGGGCTCAGGCGTGTTACTGAGTTTGGCGCACAACGGAGCCTACATTCCTTTGCCAGGCTGCGTGTTGCTGTCTGTCTATGCACGGCACTCCAGGCCTAAGGCTGAAGCGCGCAACAAGCGCGCACGCGCGCATGTGTATGCGTACGCGTGACTGTGTGCATGCACCCGACGTGTGCATGCGCGTGTATATTTGTGTGCATTATGTGTGATTGTGTGAATGTGCGTTTGTGTGATGTGAGTTTGTACGCGCGCGCGCGTGTGTGTTTGTGTGTGTGTGTGTGTGTGTGTGTGTGTGTGTGTGTGTGTGTGTGTGTGTGTGTGCGCTTGTGTGAACGTGTTTGCGTGTTACAATCCCAGAAGTAATCCAAAACACAAGGAGGAAATTACCGGCAAGTGGTTCCCAAGTACCTTCCGCAAAAGAAGGAATGCGCTCGTCATAAAAGGTACAAAGACAACCCCAGCAGCACGCCCGGCGCAATCAGTCGGCAAGGACCGGCATTGACAGTGCACCTACAGTGCTTTGGCGGCGCCCCACCTGCATGCAGGAAGTCGAAGGGCAGCGACACAGCCCACAGCCAGCAGCCCAACGCTGCTTGTGGCACGGCCCAAAAGGCCCTGACCGCGCGACGCCTGGCAGAGGCGGGCCTCTGCCGGTGGACGGCCTGGGCGCCCCCGGGGGCAAAAGCCATGCGTTTGAAAGTGGGTTTGGGAGATGGCCCGCGCTCATGGCACGTGCGCGTTCGCGAGGGCGAGGGCCGGGCGCTGCACGTAGGGGTTTAAAACAGCCGCGAGGGGCCGCGCCGGGGGATGGCGCGCGCGGCTCGAGGTGCCCGCCCCCGGCGTGGGGGCGCCCTGCGAGAAAGGCGTCGGCGCGAGGGACGGGTGCCGGCGCTCCAGGCACGAGCAGCAGTGGCCGGGGTCAGAAAGCAGTGTTTTGCAGAAATCAGGACAATTCAGCCTGCCCGGTCCCGAGCAGGAGGCTCCGTGCCGCGGCCCGCCGCGCAGCCCAGGACCGCCCCGGCTCAAACAAACGCCACAGTCGCGCAGCTGCGCGTGGTGCGGGCCTGCGCGCGCGACGCCGCCACATGTGTTCGCTCGCTCCGTCCGGCACCGCTCGAATGCGGTCAAGGCTTTGCCATCGGCTGTGCGCAGGGCACCTTTGAGATAGGGCCCCCCTGGAGCGGTGCGGCTCCGCTCGCAGGATTGCGCCCATTTATGACCCCGTGTCGGCTTTCAATACGGTTCACCAGGCCCATGCGCCGGCGCCTGCGGCGCGTATGGGGGATTTCGGGCCGGTTTTGGGGCACTTTGCGAGGGGCGTTGCGCGAACCGCATGCGATGACATGGCGTGACGTCACGACGACCGCGAGAGGCCGGGGCGCAACCTGCGCCGACGACGGCACGCGGCGTGCCCGGCCCCTGCGCGCCTGCCGCCACAGGTTGCGGCGGCTGCGGGAGCCTTGAAATCAAACGAGCTGAGAAATATAAAATCATTCGAGTGTGTGTGTGTGTGTGTCCGCATGCGTGCGCGTGTGTGGATTATTGACAGAGCCCCGAAGCATCGTTTTTGATGGGAATTGAAGTGGAAACGACGACCTGGGCCACCGCAAGCACAGATCTTTGGCGTCCATAGCCACGCGCGGGCGACACGCGTTCCACACATGCCCGCCGCACGAGGGGCAGCAGCCCGCTGTGTGCTCCCCCGCCAACGCCAACGCCGGCAGCAACCCCTCGCTACCGCCGGCCATCGCGCCCCCGGGGCAGGCCCCCAAATACAGGCGGCCCCGCCGGCCCTAGCCCCCGCCCGCCGCCGCCGCCGCCGCGCCCGCGGAGAGGGCGGCGCGGGGGTCAAGATCATCCTCTGTGCTGCGGTCGAGGTCTCCCCAGTCAAACTCCACGACCAGCACGGTTATGTTGTCGGCGCTCATCCGCTCCTCCCACTCGAACAGGGCGGCGTCCAGCACGCGGCGGCAGGCGATGTGGGGGTCGGGTGACTCTGTGACGATGTCGCAGACCTGGGGGGGGAGCGTGTGAGTGAATGAGTGAGTGAATGAGCAAGTGAGTGAGTGAGCGAGTGAGGCAGTGAGTGAGTGAGGCAGTGAGTGAGTGTGTGTGTGTGTGTGTGTGTGTACACCACGCACGCGCGCACGCACACACCTGACAGCTGGCAACCCGCATGAGACGTACACGACACCCTGGCCAGACGCCACAGGCCGCGGCCCCCCATCTCGCCTGCTCGTTGGTGAGGACGTCCCAGACTCCGTCCGTCGCCATGACCACAAACTGGTCGCGGCCAGGCTGAAGCGTCGCGTAAGTGATCTCGGGGTCCGAGGTGCAGCCGACCGTCGCCGCCATCAGATCGCCAAGCGATCTGGACAGCAGCAGCCCCGGCGACGACGCCTCCTGCAGCCAAAGCCTCGGCTCCCCCACCAGCCGCCCGCTGGCCAGCCGCTTCGGCTGCACCCGCGCGCCCGCCGCCTCGACGCGCGCGCGCTCCGACAGGCGGCGCGGCCGGTGGTCGATCGTAAGCGGCTGCGGGCGCCAGCTGGCGCGGTGGCCGGGCCCGGCGGGGGCGCGCTGGCAGAGGATGACCCGGCTGTCGCCGGCGGACGCCGTCCACAGGCGGTTGCCGAGCTGGTAAACCACCGATGCGGTGGTCCCGCTGTTGGCCAGGTTGACCCCCGCCTGCGAGCGCCGCGCCGCACGCAAAAGGGGGGGTGGGGTCGCGGGTTGGCGGGCGCGGGGCGCGCGGATCCGCGCGCGCGCGCGAGCCTCTGGCCGGCTGACGGGGAGCGGTTGCCGCGGCGCCGGCCACCGGCCCCGGCCGCACGGCAGCGGGGCCGCGCCGCGCTCGCGAGCAGGCGCCCCCGCCCGCTCCCGCGCGCGGCGCCCTCTGCCGCCCGTCCCTAGCGTCCACCCGACCTCCAGCCGCCGCCAGCCCCCCCCTGTCCCTAATGCACCCCTACAACCCTAAACCCCAGGCCCTGGACTGCTAAACCCTGGGCCCCACCCGTGTGAGGCTCTTCTCCGTCTCGCTGAACACCTCCCCAAGGAGCACTTCCACCGCCCCCTTCAGCGACTCGGCCGCGTGGGGATCCGACGCCGAGGAGTTGCGCTGCGGGGGAGCGCGGGCGTGGGGCGCGAACGCCACGGCGCGCGTCGGCGGCGCCACGGCATGGGATGAACCCGTGCGGCAGCCGCCAAGCGACCGCTCCCTGTGCTGCAGGCGGCCCGGGGACTTCTGGCCCCTGTCCCTCCAATTCCTCCCCTTGCCGCCCCACCCTCCCCTTGCCGCCCCACCGCCGGGCCCTATCCAGGCCGCTCCCGCCGGCAGTCCAGGACTTCTCACCGCGAAGAACTTCTTCAGCTCTATGTCCAGCAGCGCGGGCAGCACCTGGCGCGAGTAGGTGGCCGCGTCCTTGCCGTGGGAGCCGTGGCCGTCAAACACGCAGAACAGGTTGGCTCCGGCCTGGTTGCCGTGGTGACCGACCTGGTTTTGGGGGGAGGGGTGCGTGAGTGCGTGTGTGTGTGTGTGTGCGTTCATATGCGTGTGTATCTGTGAATCTGTGTGTGTATGGAGACGCGTGTGTGTACATGTGTACTTGTGTGGTACGTGTGCGTGGGGGCCTGCACCTTGATCGTCACCCCTCAAGCCCGCAGCGCCATGCGCGCAAGCCGTGCCGGCTTGCGCCACGGCCCTCCCAGGCCAGGCTGCGCGCCGCTTGCAGCCCTGCGGCCCCGACCAGGAGGGAGGGCCGCGCGCGCCTGTGGGGGCCCCCACCTGGATAAAAAACTCGTCCTGGTTTTCGCGCTTGAACGGCCCAAACCCGATGTGCTTCAACCCCGCAGCCTGCGGGCACGCGGCGGCGGGAGGGGCGCGCACGCAAGAGGGCGCGTCGCGGCGGGCGACGGGCACGGACCCTGCCGCGCGGAGGGGCGCCGCCAGGCGCGCGCGCGCGCCGCGCGGCGGTGCAATAGTAGACAGTGCAACAGTAGAAGAGAAGAACAAAGAACCGCCCACCTTCCGCTGGCCGGCCCGCCTCGGCGCGGGCGGGGGCGCTCACCCGCGTGCTGACGAGGCCGAGGGCAGCCGCGTCGGTTGTCAGTTGGCCCTGCAGGTCTTGGAAGCTGCTGCTGACGCCGCCGCGCCGCTCCCGCAGCTTGGCGCCGCGCGCGCCGCCGCCGCGCAGGACCTGCGCGCCGCCGCTCGCGCCGCGCAGGGGCGGCCGCGCGGCGC